AGATAAGAACAGCTGCGTGACAGCTGATTCACTGGAAGATAGCCAAGTTCAAAATGACGGCTGTTAAGATTTACGCTTTGGGGTGTATGTGTGTGTGCACCAACTCCTCAATTTGGACAGACCGAAAATCCAAAGCGATGGGTCTTGTACGTTTCGTTAGTAGGGGATAACGATCCTTTTTTTCCCTCAGCCACGAAATTTCAAACATGTTGGTTATAGGAAAACGAGTGTTAGCGGCAAATTTGAACGAACAGGTAGCCAACATTTATGTAATATTATGTAAACATGACTATGAAGTCAGATGTTTTTCCGCGAAATTCTCGGTGCACATATTGCTAGCTGATTAGTGACGGTCAGATAGATCCCTTAGGTTGACGGAATTTACAACAGAAGCAACAAAGTACAAGTGAATTACTCCTTATCTGTTTAGTAACTTGTTTGCCTCAGGAGCTTGAATAGTAAAGATGCCGGGTTATGACATGACCTCCGACCTTCTGGAGTCACTTGGTCTGCAAGCTCAAAAACATACCGTCATTCGTGTTTACTCACACACCCCGACAGATAGTGGCCTATTCTGATGAATTAGGAGTGTCAGTAACTGCCGTAACTATCAGTTGTAACATGGACTACTGACAAGAACGTCGAATCAGTTGCTGAACAAATTCCTTAGCAGTAGCTTCCATGATTAGTTTTACCGCCTTCTCAAGTTTGTTTTGGGGATGATTGACCAAATGATCGCTTTGAATGGTGAGCATAATTAGGTCAATTTGTTTATTTGACGCTTCATAAGTTACCAGCATTTGAAGTGTAATGACATTCTGAATCTCAACAAAATTATCCTTTTTCTAACTTGAGCTTCAATTTGGGATAACATTTACTATTGTGTTAGTGGTGACTCCTTCACATTGAATCATGAAACTCTGAAAATCCAAAAGCGAGATTGCATTTGGCTCCCCGCCCAGCTGACACACATAAGTAAAGTTGAGAATACTATAATAATTACAAGAATGTTCTGTATTATTAATGCTGGAATTCCCCCTAACGCGTCGCTCGTAAAACTTGTGACCTGTATATCGTATCGTATTCATAAAATGTCAGCAAGTACTTAACCAAATGGGCTACTTATTGTAGGATTACCAAACTGCTGTTAGGCTTCCTCCTCACACTCAACTCTTGCAGTTTTCGTACGTAGTAAATTGATGTCCTTGAGAAAATCAAGCCGAAACTCGGGGTCACCACCAGGGAGACGGAAATGACCAACGGAGCTGAGTTTGCTGGTAATGGCTTTCACTCTCCTCTGTCAAGTCATTATTTGACCGCATCTGGCTCTCTTCCACCCTTCACGTGGTTGTGCGAAAAGAGCCATTCGAGGAAATCGGTCGACTGAAATATGCAGCACGTGGCCAAGCCAGCGCAACCTATGCGGTGTGATCAGTTCATCTATCAAGGATGAGTTATTTCTCCCGAATACCATTTGACGTACTTCAGCATTGCTGATCCGATGTCCCAACCAGATTCCGGCAATATTCCAAAGACATCGATGGTCAAACACTGAAAGTCTTTTGACGTCCTCGGCGCGAAGCGGCCAGGTTTCTGATCCATATAATAGTATGGAGCGCATCGCAGCACTGTAAACCCGACCCTTGACGGACAGGCTGATGTCACGACTACGCTACATGGGACGCAGGTTCACGTAAGCTGCTCTGACCTTCCCAATCCGGATGGAAATATTATCTTTCGCGAGACCACCAAGACTTGTTCAGCTGCCTTAAAAGCCAATGCAGCAGTTACTAATCAAGTGCCCATTATTCTTGGAGGAAATATGAACCTTTTAGGTCGAGCAGTCGGCTGTCTTATTGGTCGACTTTTAGGGTAACGCGCTTTTGCATATAGCCTACATGTGATGCAGAGTATGAAATTACGGGAATGCTAATATCCCGCAGTATGTGCTGGCGATTCGTTAGACGACAATTGCTTCAGATGTTCACTGTAATCTTACTTTTGCGAATCTGACTCCGCTTGTTCGTTCTCGGCTTACTGACGTCAGCCTTCGAGAGAGAACTCAAGAACTTAAAGTGCAAGTATGTGATACATCCGAAGTACTTCCTGAATTGTCACTCCCCACTACACACCATCAAAATCCGTCCGTTTGACCTCATTCAACCAAACCCAGTGCATTCCCTATAGTCTGTAGCCCCAACAAAGTGCAAAGAAACCCGGTGATCGGTAGGTCCCTTAGTGTGAGCATCTAATTACGAATTTTCATCATTCACAGCACTGGTTTTGAAGGACAAGGCAATCTACCGAGAGCTACTTCCCCTTAACGGTGTACAGCACAGATGGCAAAAATACACATGAAACCAACAATCTCAGCCAAACATGCGGTTATACACTTGAGGTTACTGGATACATCTCGCTAAATGATCTGATCATCATTCTGAAAGTGTAGCTTTGTAGTGCGCCGGCATTGATTGTCACGAAGTTACGGAGTAACGCTTTAAACAATCGGTTGTAGAGTGAAGTAAGCTTACCAACAAGTGTTGCTCACAATCTATTTGCTCTAATAAGACGTCATTGTCTCAGAGATTGATGCTCTATGTCCAGAAGTCATCCTTTCGGGGGTTCTGTCAAATTCAGTAAAGAGGATTTTGGAAAATGAGACGTCGGCCCTTAGATGACAGCCACTGTTTTTAGGCGGATAAAAAATTGCCTCACAAGCACGCTATTTCTGCTTCTCCTTCTCGGTAATTTGGACAAGAAATAATATTTGCTCACTCACGCACATCATCTCAAATTTCCCGTTTTTTAAGATGGCAAACTGCGTATCTCTGCTATCAGGGGACTCGTCTTTTTCACTTTGTCCGTCCAGTTTTCTCAGAGCACTTTTTTTGCAGCGCACAATCTCCACAGTCCGATTCAATTCTCATCACCCACTCGCCCACACGTTTCAGAATATTTTCTGTTTACAAATCACACCTCTTCACTGTAGCAAACGAATTCGCCCACTAATGGCCCCTCTAAGTAACTGAGTAGATTCCTACTGATTGGTTCGTCAGATCACACAAGAGGCAATAGCAACAGTTGTAGCAGTCTGTTAGTATATAAACGGCTTCTGTCAATCGTTTGGTGGACTGTAGTTTCGCAACACAACCCGGGCGCAACATGCTGACCAAACTGAACCCAATAGCAATCTGCATTTTCCTGGTTGTGATGCAGGCAAGAGGACTGATGCTTTCCAGACTCAGAAACGTAAGTCGAACTACTCGAAATGTAATCTGCAGATCCGATCCATAGAATTCATTATCAGAGGCAACCATCAGATGCATGCTGTACACATCACTCGTTTAATTGGATGACATACCGTAATAAAGCAGGCACTTCAACGTTAGGGTCATAAATTCAATCGTCTAACAATATGGGGATGTTCTGTACTTGGACGTATCCCGTTTTATAAACAACTGATTTACTGTAACGTTTGTTTGAGGATCGATGGCACCCATCGCTGACTAGGACCTTGGAGCTTTTGATGGATCAGTTGCCGATTCGTGAATCGTCGCCCAATCTAGTTTATGCCAATTCGAATATTCGGGTTAGTTCCTTAGTCATTTGGTTTACCGTAAGTTCCGGACACTGAGGTGAATGCTGTATCATTTGTTGCTGTTTTGAGTTCGGCTGTAAGTCTCTTGGTTGACCACATCACTGTGTGGGTACTTTTTGATGAGTACGGCTGTTTTGAGCCATTCAATCCCCATTCGACAACAGCCAAGGATGGTGTGTACAGGCCTAGCTCGCCGTTGTTTCAGCCGATTATTAGCCGCTGGTCTTTGAGTCTTGCGGAACCACACACGTACTTTTGCCATAAAGATATACAGCCGTGTCATGTTCTCCAGAGTGACTGCGCCAGCGAGGTCGAAGGTTGCTGGGTAAAGTAGAGCACATGTATATAGAGAGCTGATAATTTTCAGAAAATATAACCTGAATCCAGCATTAGCTCCGAGCATGGTGGCACAAATTTCGACCCATTGTTTTGGACGAACCACTGAACTTGAAAAACGTGCCAGTTTAGCTTATCATTGACCGTCTAGCTCGCACAGGAAACCTCGGGGTTTATTTTCAGAACAAATGATCGTTCATTTTACTCACCATGCACCTACCAAACATATATTTGCTCAAGCTGACGAAGTTTCTGATTCAATGAAAGGAGTGTTTGTCGTGAAACTATTTTGCTGGCCACCATTTTTCATTTTCCTTGTCAGCGTTTTTTTTCTGCCAGCTTACTGGGCATGACGACAATATCTGTGACATTTCTTGAGTGCTGGTCCGAAATGCCTAACAAGAGGTTTGCATTATGCTCAACTCATTAGGTGTGAGGCACAAGCACCGGGAGTTTCGATTCGACGGTTTATTATTATATTTCTGTGGGTAGCAGTTTGGTGTCGTACAAATCGCGATGTTGCAATTCCGTTTCAACAAACCCCTTTGACCTTTCTGTACAGGGAGCTACAAGTATGATGTATTCTGTTAGGTCCGTTGTAGATCCAAGTATCGCATAAAGATGATACAATCCTGTAGCCAAATTCAGAAAACTGGATTGTGTTTGATCTATGGAGGATGCTCTGTTTGCAGCTCAAAAATAATTTGAGTAAGCACTAAATACAACCGAATGTTGTTGTTCACGCATGCGATACCATCTGGGTGCCATTTGACATTTAACACAGAAAGAAAAATTCCTGACTTATTTAACCCAAACTGGTTTTTTATAAGAGTCAAGGAATGACTTCTAAAAATCCACGATAGATGGGACTTTGAACTATTGTCCTGTTTTTCAGGGAGGACAAACCTCAGACGATATTAGTGTTGAGGTAATCACACTTTTGTCTTGAAGCAACGTTTGATGATGTGCTTTTCACAGAAGAGTCCATTCCTTTGGGCCAACAGAGGTAATCAAGCCATCGATTGGCAGATTAGGTACAACGCTGTTGAAAACTCACAGACTGAAAATAATACTCTTCTTGTAGGGTTGAAATGTTTTTTAAAATCCACATGTTCAGCTATCTCAAAACATACAATGGGTAAGAGCCGATTACTACAAAGTGGCTTGAAGAAATTTGACGCGGATCCTCAATCGGAGGTATTTGTAACCTATGACAGACGAAATTCAACAGCCAATGAAGTACGAAAGTTCCGATTCTCATAAAAATAACTCTCAAAACAAGTGGGGCAACTTTTAATGGTGACTAACAGCTATAAACGCATGGTCTTGATAAGTCAAAAATCACTTGAATTAGTTTACTTCGATGGCAAATAAGGACAGGCAGCCAATTCGTGTTTAAATTAGAAGCAAAAACTTCAATCTTGAACAAGATATTTAATCATGTCACATCGATCTGGTCAGTCCCGATCAGGAAGAAGGGCGTACCGAACCTCAACCTCTAACCAACAAAATCCGCTTTATCCTTGAATTGCCAGATGAGTTTTTCACCTGCTTTGTAAAGATCATACCCGCCAACCCATGCCTGCTGACTTTCTCATAGTCTCCATTGATAGATATATCGGTTTTCCACGAAGTGCACCCAAAATTACAGTTTTGTTAAAAATGAGTGTTACATCTCGTAGATGCTCCTAAAAATATGCCTAAGATGTTTCAGAAACCTCAGACCAGTTTCGTTCCCCAAATGTGGACACTCCACTTCCTTGATTCTACTCCAGTAGACAAAAATTGATTTTAAGGCAGATGACAAATGGTTTAAGAAAAAGCAGCTACACTTAATAATATAGAACATAACAAGGTTCTCCCCTTTGCTCCCAAGCCATCACATAAATCGTGAGCAACACCGTGTTTACAGTGTTGATAGTATGATATATTTGGCATCGTTTCTACTACCTTCGGCAGTAATTGGTTCACGAAAAAACCAGCTGTCGGTTCGACATCAAAAGAGGTTAAATATGCTTGAAATTATCCGCTGCACTGGGTCGTTCCTCAAATTCCCAATGTTCTTTTATCAGCTGTTTTATTTGGTGTTTAATTGTTGTTTACCTGGTCAAATGATATCTAGAAATCGTTCCCCTTAAATTTTTGCCGCGAGCTACTCATTAGTAGTCTTTTCGCCGCTGGACTAATCGCCGTTGTGGGAAAACACCATCTGTGGTGTCTGTTTCTGCTGGAATATTGATTGGCTGATCAAATGGATTTAAATACACGCACGTTTGAGCTTATCTTGGCTGGACTGTATGAAATAGTCATCGGAAGGGCATCACAGTTGGTTGACGAAATTAAGGAACCATTCTGAATGAGGCATCTAGTTGTAAACCTTAATAGGAATGTTATTCCCCCTTGAGATGACAAGTCTATGGTTTAGTGCAAATCAAGAATAGCACTGTTTTAACCATGTTGGGCGCAAGCCAACGCCTGCTGTACTTTTGGCCGATTTGGAAAGTGAAGTTTTGAGAATAACGACCATTAAGTAGTTCCACTTCAAGACAGACAACATTCCTGGAGGAAAAAGCTCCAAATGGGTATCCTCGTACAATGCTCCTAACACCGTCATACTTCTGTCTCAAACTGGTTCGCACTACTGCCAGTATTATAGAATGTGACACCTAGAGTTGAGGGAACGATTGTATGAAACTTGCTGATTCGAAATAAATACTGAAAATTTGAGCTGACTGATAAATGTCTCCCTTGGAAACTTATAGGCTGGACTCATCATATCAGACGTCTGGGAATCAGTAGCCCAGCTTTCGGATGGAGAGAGATTTCCCAATCCCTTAATAACCAAGGCAGTGATGGTCGTAATTCGACTAGTATATAGGCATCCCCTAATTCACCAGCGAACAAATATGATACGCCTGCTTCACCGAAACCACGTTTCCATAAAGTGGAGTGAGATAAACAAAAAATGAACCACTAGCACACTATGGATTGTGCATTTCCTCAGTTTTACAACATGTAATTGTGTTGCACTCCACTAGAACCCTTGTCAACGGCGAGGAATGACACAGTCCTCAAAAAATTGGGTTGAAATATCTCGCCACAAAAAGAATCTGAGGACGTAGGACGATCAGGGAAGCTTCCCCTTTAGATAACTAGAATGACACTACGGTCTTTGTGAGGGGATGACACATCGAAATTTAATCAACGGCTGCTTCTAACTTCGCGAAACAGTGATCAATAGTGATTGCTTGTATTTGAAAACAGCGTTTTCATAAATTACTTCTAGCCTTGCTCGTTCTCACGGAAGAAGATAAATTTCTGAGCTTTCCAGTCGCAAATCGTTAAACTGAGGCAGAACTCTATCTACCTTGTCTGTCCCCGAGTTTTGCCAGGCTAACCACATCAAATTTGACTTGCTGTTTGAACACCAATGGTTTTACAGACTCCGTACAGTCCAGCGACTCAAAAGTCGCTAAGGCGAAACTCACGTTAACAAAATAAAACTGTCGCAGACCTTGACTAGAGTTAAGGCATGCAATGGGTCATTTGCCATCATGCTGGTGCATGGTGCACGTTATCCCTGGTCAAGACCAAATTAGCTACTTTTGTTGGTGCCGAGAATCTGAATGTAGTGCGAACAGTTGAGAGATCTCAGGGAGACGAAAATCGATAGAGTGAAACTACGGACTGTTGAAATTATAAATCTCTCAGGGTGGTCACCATCCGACAGACTCCGGGTATTATTTTGTCAGTGGTGGGTGGGAAGAACTCCATGGGTACTAGAAAAAAACATTGACTATGCATGTGAAATGTAACCGATTTCTTGTCACTGTCTAAGACGAATAAATGTTGCCAACCGATCACATCATCGGTCACGATGCCGTTGAACACGGACTACATAAGCTTAAGCGTTTGCGTGAACAACAAAGAACTACTCACAGATTAAATGAACAGATGTTCATGTAAGTTTGAGTGGGGACCAAAAAGCAGACGAATTATGGTATACAAACAGGAGAAGAATGTGCGTGTAAGTCAGTTGTCTTAACTTTATTTCCTTCTAGTTGCTTGTATGTCTGGGGTAGTGAATTCCATTTACGGAACCATTGGCACTCACGTTTTTGAGTCCTCTTTTCCCTTAAATACCTTGATGTCTCTAGTGAGTCTTAATTTTTCATGGACAATGTGCTGACGATGTACGTGCCAAAATCAGAATCATTCCACTCATTATGATGATCAATTTCTCACCCACTTGTTTATTTCCTTCCTCGCACCAAACCTTAGTACCCGAGAACAAAGCACAAAATGCCAGTTGGTGGCAAAAAATGTAAGACAGCCCAAAGACACATTCTACGATTATTTCATACAAACTTGGGGGTTTTCTTTTAGCCCAAATTCGGTTTGTGTCGGCGGTATGTTGTTATTGATGCTGGTGACGACGCTGAAAGTGCAGGTCAAATCTCTCACGTAATATTTTTCACTGATATTCATCATCATCGTCTTCTAATGTCTCAACCAAACCGAGATAATTCTGGCCACTTCACTGTCAACGGCGATGTGAGATTCGCTGCGAGCAGCTTGATTCATCCAGGTGTCACTAGTGAGACTCGATTATGAAGTCTACCTGTCTTTGACAACATTTGATTGTAATGTAAAGCATTAGACGGATGCGCAGTCAATAACAGCTCAACGGCTTTTTTCGTGCCACCGTTTGCTGAAACGTTAAATCAGTACTTAGGACTGCAGAAAGAAATTCATGAAAACCTATGCAAATTCTCTCCCAATTGTTTCCAACTTTCGTATCTGGTAGTGTGTTTTCAGTAGTGTGGTCAGCAAACATTTTCCGGTGTTTGGAAGAGTCTTCACAATTCCGAAATATTAGATTCTATGAGAGCGCCTCGAGATCTGGCATTCATTAATTGCCATCTGTAAGCGAAATCAATGCAAGGCATGCTCTAAGAAAAGTAAGGATATTTGACCATTTAGGTGCACTGTTGTCTGCTCCAAAATAAAGCTACCTTTTTTTCTGGTGCATGTTGCTATGCGAAACTTTACATTATTATTAACAATAACTTGATGTTTTTCTTCCGGTTTTGTAACTCAAGTAGCACATATGAAGTGAAAACTTATGGCATTGAGCTTTAGAAGCTAAAAATACAATTGTGGCACCAATACTTTTGCGTTTTATAGAAAAAGTGGCCACGCGAAAAACTGGACTTCAAGTGGTTGCTCTGTTTAACTCTATAATACCACAAAGATTCATATACTACTGATTTTAGTCGTGAGTCATTATGTGATCAGCCGCTTTTCTGAATCTATTGCTGCATTCAAATTCAACACTTCGCTGGTGACGGATACTTGATTATTTTAGCCATAGTCTTTTTTACTTAAGGGGACATCTGACGTTTCACCTACACTGGAATTCTTAGAAGTTGGTCATCGATTTAGGGGGAATGTATTTACATCCCATCTCAACACGCTAAATCAAGGAAGAAGCCCAAGCGTTTATACAATTTTGCACACGCTTTTATCTAGTTCTCACATTTAGTTTTTCTCCTAACCCCTCCCCTTTTATTACAGTTTTATCCAGAAGGCATCCCAGCTGATGCAGTCGATGACGCATTGGAACACTGCCGAAAGTTGACAGGATCTCGAGATCTTGACATGCCACACAGCGAATACACCCGATTCTTGAACTCATGCGTATTTCAGCGACTCAGTATGGATGCACTAAAGTCCGAAAGCTGATCAGAGATTGTTTCTTCAGATATCATTCACCTTCTGGAGACAAAAGAACTGCGATATCTGGACCACCCTCAAACAAACTGCTTTGGCCGGTAACACACAATCTTTCTTCACAGCGTTGAAGACTGCTGTGTTCCCTACATTGACCAATGATTTAGTCATATCTCCCCTACCGCCCACTCCATGATCCCATGAGTTTGTCCGGATATCACAGTCAAATGTCTCTTTAATGACTCAAATACAATCATGGCAAAGAAGGTGTCGCAGCACAGACTCGTTTTTCCTCATATGCCTTATCAAGCCCGATAGACTGGTGGAAGAAATAATTTGGAAGAAACGTCCTGGTAACTGACGAGGGCTGGCTTGTTGGAACAACACCTTCAGTACACCCCATAATCAGTATTCGCCCCCTCCTAGCTTCATTTGCTAGATGCATATATGAGAAACACGATTGATTGTGCCGTAGAGTTGCTACATCGTTTATTGGAGTTGTCACCTGCACGCACATCAAGAAATCATAAGAACTTTCGGCTCTTTAACCCCTAGATGAGAGACAAAAACTTCATCGTTCTACTCCGAATGGTTGACCGCCAGTGGAAATACCTCACAGATGAGTTAAATACAATGTTACTGTATTCTATAGAGAAAAAAAGTGGGGAATGACCTATGATCGCGATTAGTTTTTCGGTCGGGCGATCAAAAGTCATTCCCTGCTAGCAGCACGTATATTAACACACGCGTAACACTACTCCACGCACAACCACCAACGCTACGCTACGCACCACTACGCTCCCCACTAACACACTGATCATGTCACCTCGATTGGTGATGAAACGCTTGCAATCAAATTTCTCAGCGAACAAGCCAACGACCATAATGCTGTTCATTAAATCGTGCGATTAAGATGGCGCGGTCACTTGTTGACCGAATCCTCGAGTGAGGAATTACACTACTCGTAAAGAGGTTTCGGGTTTTAGTTATGACTAAAGGCTCTTGAGATGAGCACCGCCAAGGGTTCTTTGCCAACACGAAGCAGCTCTGCAGTGCGCTATGACTTTACAGCATACAGTGACTTAACTTGCAGGGAGAAATCTCCGTTATTATTGCGATGTCTTTTTAGACAGCAATCAGAATGCATAACACAAAAAATTTCATGGCCAGTGATTTTTAGCCACTATATCCGGGATTTTGTTGCACATATATCGATATATTTGAGGGTAATCAAGTAGGTTTGTGGTTCGTGTATTTGTTAAATTTTTCACAGGTTTTTCTACCAAGAAAATTCGGAAATAATTGTGAAAATAATTGAACGACTGTTCGGGGGTTTTGACGTCATCTCAACCAAAAGTGGTCACATTTCAAAGAAAGTCGATCGAAATGAAATAGCGTCTAAATTTTTGTCGTTTGTTACTTTGTACGCTGGCTACTCCTACATGGCCCTTGGTAACCCGGTCAAATCCTGAGGTTCCTGCGGGTCACACAGTGGTTAACAATAACAGGAGTTTAGCAAGTGAAACCAATGTGAGAAGCCAGATAACGCTGCCCGATATAACAATCCATTGAGCTTAGAACCTGGCGAATGAGCCGCGTATCCTAATCGCTTCATACTTCAGTCCTATTGTGATTACAGCCTTCCCTTGTTTAGTTGGTACAATATAGATGGAATATTCGTTGGTGATCAGCCACACTTTTTGCTGAGTTAGTAGTAAAATTGCTTGATCGGCTTCCGATTGTTTCACAACTAGAGTTCCATCAGATTCCTCAGAACTATCGTTTGACAGTGGGATGTCACAGTTGTTCTATGTAAAATGAAACGATTGGTCTCAAAGGATCAGAGTTTGAACCATTTCGATGGACAATACCTATTTGCTCAACCTTTTTTCTGAGGTACTTGTAGACGAACTTTCACGTAAATTCAGTGATCAAAGTGAAGAATTGCGCCTACTGGCTGGATGACTCACTGCCTCATTTCTTTTACTCCCTTCGTCGTGTGAGGGATACCTGAAGAAAATGTGGCAGTGTCAGCGAAGTGGTTTATCAAGTCGTGAATGCCGCACGATTTTACCGGCTTCCAGAAGAAACCCCGTGCGATGAGCGCAACAAATAAGAATCATTTTCTGCAGACTGAGCAGTGTTCAGTCTAACATATCAAAGCATTGTATTGTCGTACTTGTTGTGCTCGAAGAATAATCGACATTACAATTGCCTCTGTTTTCTTACTGCTGCCAAATAAGCTATAGGAAATTCGCCCGCTGCAACGTCCATTTTGGGTGGACACATAGGTAGAGCGGCGAATAACAGGCAAAAGAGTGCAAAGGCTTCTGTCTCAAAAGATGTTATGTCCATGTGAAAGCTGATAGTTTTCGGTTGAAGTCGGAAACTGGGAGGGGTCACAGAATTTCGTTACGGTCAGTTTGTACGCTTTTCTTCTATTGTATGCCACCTGAAAATCTCAAGTCATAATTTGGGTGGTGGGCGAATGTTCATTCTCAGTAGTTCCAAAAGTAGCCGTTTTCTATCCAGATTGTGTGTTACAGGTTATATAGTTTGATCGTTGTTCTATCGACAGCACAACAAATCCGCTCTGCTCACTGATTCCGGCAAACTAAGCCTGTTAGCTGAGATTCACTGTCAAGCGAAGATAAAGTGAGTTCATTGCTTCAGTGGTCTTCTGACCAGCAAGTAGTTAATGGTGATCCATGATATATCACACTGGAAAGAGGTACGCGAGAAAGTACCGCACGAAAGGAAATTTCTCTCGAAAGAACACGACCCTTCCAGTTTCTCGGAAAAAAATTGTGCACCTGTTTGCTTAGAAAACCCACTGCTTCTAATTTCAGGATAATGAGATTTTAAGTATTACTGGAGGGACCACTTTGCTAGTGAATACAAAACTATGCTGAAAAGCTCAAGAGAATCACAAAACTGTTTCTGCTTTGTCTTGAATCCCCATCAGTATGCGCAGCACAAACCTCTGGAAAGATATGAACAATCAAAGTTCGCGTAGTATTTTGAAAAGAAAACGGTTTGACCACAAGTATTTGACGAGTAATGCGGTTAGCTCACACAGACTGGATGGAAAACTATAAACCCTCATCTTACGCTACTCGGTCTTGGCTGCCTCATTGGGAAAAGATTCCCTAGGTGGAGGAACAATTCGAACTACAGGTGTCCCCTTCATGAACCGACTACTAGCAGTTTGAATGGCAAGGATTTTATTAACTTAATCAAGCAATTGAAGCCATTCTGTAGCGAAGAATGTGGACGTGTTGTACGGCTGTTTTAACCCTGTCCGGAATCTTCAGTAGCATTTGTAACCTGGAAGGTCACATAGTACCTATCAAATTGTGCAATGTATATTTTTCGATGAGTCCTGAAAAAAAACCTGTTCAGTTTTTCTTGTTAATTCGTCATAGGTGGGCTATACTTGCAGTACAGTCTTCAACGGCACTCATTACTGTGAAAGATTCCTCTAATCGGATAAGATAGAGTGAACCAATGGTCGCTCGTCAGAAGCCCACAAGGGTAACCGTATAAATGGCTGGGCATTACCCATGATAAATAACTTACTGGGATATTTTTATCTGACCGTTTGTCGTAAGCTTAGCTCGCTATGTCAGGCTATCGGTTTGCACAACTGTTTTTCCGTGCACTTTACCCATGTTTTGGTTAGTAGCTGATGGTAATGCGGTATCTCTCAAGATATAAATCTTAAGATAGTCTCCAGTTTATTGGTTTCGCAATATTCTCTTCACACACTTTGCAAATCTTTGTGCCACCAACATACTGTAACATACAGGTACCTTTGAGGGTGGCTGGAAAAACTGGGTAAAGCTATGTAGTATACTGAGGTCACTTTTCAACAAATATGGACAGTTTAAGAGATTCAAGGGCCAAATGTGGGATAGGTGAATTGGGTTGCGAATTGGTAAGGGTAGGTTGAACTAATAGGCCGAAATGTGACTGCGAGACCGACTGATATCAGCCACTGTGTGGATGTTCGTCTTTACAGATCATACTGAAATTGTATTCAAGCCAAACAAAGAGTTGGCCAACTACCAATTAAGTCTAGATACCTTCCGTTCAGTCCGACTAAACTTATGTTTGCGAAGTTCACTGTTACCCTCATAAGACCTTCATCTGGAAGCTGAGCAAAACCCCTAGCTGTGGTAGCTTCGTTAGACAGCAAACGCTTGAGATCCCACAACGCTGCACAAGTACTATAATTGTTTTGGACTACGCACTTTGTTCGATCGCCTAAGGCTTAATATTACAATCAGGCATATTGACTTTTGAGCGCCGCGTACTCTTCACCGTCACTAATTTGGTTGGGTTGGTATGTGTGAGTCAACAACGATTGCCAGAATTAGCCCTGCACTACAGCGAATTTCGAAGTAGATAGAATCTGGATTGTTATCAAAAGGACAAATTAAATTCATGTGCGACTCACTGTCCACCGGAGGACAGACAGGTAGGCAAGTCTAGATAAATCTAGATGTTGGGCTATGACACACAGAAGACGATGACAATAGTTGAATTTCTGTATACGTAGCCAACTGAGCTGGGAATCTGTTTCGGCCTAATAAGATAGTTCCAGCAAAACCCTGAATTTCTCGCAAATAAAAAATTCGCATCATGCGCAGTTGTAGTGGGGTATTTATAAGTGGGAAATAAAGCCAAATGGGGTTCGTCCGTCGAAGTGGGTAGGGGTTCTCTCTAGACTGCGACCGTTTGTACTGTGACTCTGCATCTGGGAAATATGGTGAAAGCAACAATACGTTTCTCAGCTGCGAAGGTAACATTTGTGGATCTCATTGGTACCTAATAAACTACTGCTAATTCTGAAAATACCAACAGCAGATAATTTATAATAATGGTATTCTTTTCTAGGAAATCAGATTACACAATAGCCTTGCTATTGTCATAACTAGTACTCAGTTAAATTTGGACTCTGCTGATTTGCTGGCTTTTATCTTGAAAAGGGAGTGAATGCGATAGTCTCTGCCTAACAAGGTCGTCACGAGGACAACAGTGGTTTTAGGTTATTTGCAGTTTATTGTTTTTTTGCGCTGGGGTGTAACCATGGAGATATCCTTTCTCATCTAAGTTTATTTCACTGGATTAATGATAAGGACCTACAATATCAAACAAGGAATACCATCAAATCTTTTGGTAACTCATGGTTAGATTTCATCGTAGATATAATTAGTTTCAGAGTCGATTCGGTCACAATTTGCAAATGGCGTTTCA